TGGGGTCTTTCTTTGGCCTGGAACTGTCCAAGTAGGCCCAGTTGGCTGGCCAGTAAACCCTAGGGATCCCTGTCTCCACTTCCTCAGTACTAGGACTGCAAGTGCACACCACCGCACTTAGCTTTTTTTTTAAAAACATGGATTCTGGAGTCTGAGCGCAGGTCCTCATGCTTGCATTGCAAGCACTTCACCAACTGAGCTCTCTCCCAACTCCATATGTGCCTTTAGTCAGCAAACAGCCAAAAGAAAGCATTTTACCTCTCAAACTATTCACTCTGCATTAGAATTTGGACTAAAATAAGTCCAATTTAACAAAATAATTATTGGTATTCTTCCAGACAGTAAGTTGCTTCAGAGACCTTTCTTCTTTTGAGATCCCAGGCTGGCCTTGAACTTGCTATGTAGCTAGGATGACATTGAGCGTTCTCATCTTCTTGTCTCTATTTCTCCGGTGCTGGGATTACAGGCCACCACATCTAGTTTTTTGAGATACTTTTTAAACCTCATAGGGTATGTTTTATATACTGCAGGAACAGAAAAAGGTACCTCAAGCATGTCCGCTACTGGGTGTGATAATAATCACTTCCTGTAATATGATGAACTTCCTCTTTTGGAAGAAATATTTCAGTCTATACCTATCACTCTATCCTGAAAAGTCAGGAATGAGACGAGGCCCCACATTTGCAGATAGCTAAATATCTAAAATATGTCATTTATAAATTGTCAGCTATTTGCCTTTTAAAGAACATAAAACAACTTATAAACTCTGTGCTACACTACAACTCAGATAATACTTTCTGGATAATTATTAGGTAATATTATCTTCTAGAACTTACAAGTAGAAAAGAGATGGGGAGAGTATGTCAAGTGAGGAGAGAAGTTGAGTGTGTTTTTTGTCTGAGTAACGAGACAATTGTAGAAAATGTAGAAAATGTGGTTTTTAGGTCCTTGCTCCAGGGAGGGGAAATGAGCATTTTAAAGGAGGGAATCCAATGAACTCTCCATGTATTGGAACAAATTTTTTGGTGGAATTTCTTTCTTCAGTATGGATGTAGTAGAGGAAATATGACCCTAGACACAAGTAGATGCAGACAGGAGCCCTGGAAGTTACGGATCACTGTATGTGGGAGGAGGTGGGAACAAGCTCTTGACATCTGGCTATGGCACCAAGCAATATCTAATTTGGTCATTACAGACCTAACTTGTGGAAAAAAATATTTTTTGTTAGATGTATTTATTTTAGGTAATTTGGAAACTATTTCCAATTTAAGTATCTAAATGGTCTATTCATATAAAATGCATCTTTTTTCAGTTATTTATGATCTGAAATGAGACCACATATAAAGATCTTTGGAAATTGCTCAGATAAAATGAGCTTTATCTCAGATACTAGGCACTTTAAGATAAACTACTAAGGACAAAGGAATTTTCTTCTGCAGGGTGCAGGGTGCAGGCAAGCTTTGCTATGCAATGTTTTGTTGCAGGTTTTTCTTTTTGGTCTGCAGGGACTCAAGATCATGGTGACTAGTAAAGACAGAAGCTACTAACAGGTCATTTACAATTAACTCAGGTGGCTTTTAATTTACAAACAACTGTCTTTCTAGATTCAGGGGCAGTAGTCTCAATTTCAGAGAAGTTACTATAGACAGAATCTTATTTTACTTCTATTGGGAAAATTGTTGGAAAATATATGACTAGTTGGTTTTACCAAAGAAACAGCAAGCAGCTTTAAGTCATGAGTGGTTACAGAAACTGAGGCACTGTACTATGCAGTGTCCAAGGTCAAGTGAAGAACTCTAGGACTGATGTTCTTTCTCACTAGGGAGAGGTGTAACTGGTCAGAGCCAGGGAGCAGTGCTAATTGGATTAGGTGGTCACATAAATATTCTCACACCTGCACCTCACTTAAGATTCAGTTACTGGCAGAAGGTCCCACTGGGTGTGCCCACCTATCTGAGTCCTGGCTCACAAAGGCCTAACTTTCCTGTTTTTTCTCTTCTTCTGTCTTTTGCATGCTAGCCAGAGCCTAAGCATGCTTTCCCTAACCCTTGGGCTTTACTCTTTCTCTAAAGCTTCCCTCCCTGCCATGCAGCTTCTGGTCCACCCTGTGGCTGACCTCTATGCCAGCTTAACACAAAGGGAATGGCTTTTCTGCTTCCTCTTCTCCATCGTTGTCCTCCTGGCAGTTGCTGAGATTCACTGTTTGCCTACTTTGGGATTCTTTTAAGCCTTAATGAAAATGTCTTAGAGATGAAAAAAAAAAAAGACTCCTGCTACTGTTTTATTTTTAAAACTTTTATTATTTTTAATTATGCGTGCATGAGTGCAGGTAACCCCCCCCTCCCCAAATGGAGTTACAGCTGGTTGGCCATTGGACATGGGTGCTGGAAATAGAACTCAGGTCCTCTGCAAGAACAGTATGCATTCCTAATGTTGAGCCATCTCTCCAAGCCCTCTGCTGCAATTTTAAAAAGAGCAAAGTTATTGGATTTAGTTGGGTGTGGTGGCTCATGCCTTTAATCCCAGCTCTTGGGAGGCAGAGGCAGACAGCTCTCTGTGAGTTTAAGACCACACTGGGATATAGGGAGACCCTGACTCAAAAAAAAAAAAAAAAAAAAAAATCTCAGGAACTAGCTAAACACGTAGTGGAGAAAGAGGCTAGTTTTATGAAGTATTTCTTGAGCATCTACTGTGTGTCAGGCTTTTAGGCGGACATGTGGATAAGATCCTTGCTCTCTTGAATTTTGCTTTATACTTGATTTTGTCTTTTTTTTTTTTTTTTGGTGTTTTTGAGATATGGTCTCCCTACAGTCCCAGCTGACCTGGAACTCATGATGCAGACCAGGCTGGCCTTGAACTCACAGAGATCTGCCTGCCTCTGCCTCTGCCTTTGTAGTGCTGGGATCAAAGGCATGTGCCACCAGGCCTGGAAAATCTTGCCTTATATTTGAATAAGCATCCCACTGCTGGGTAGTGGGAAATTGTGGAAGTATTTAGCAGAGGGCAGACTAAATGGAAAATCAGAAATCTAAACTGGTTTTGAGATGTTTGATGGAAAGCTATTTGGCCCTGTAAGCTGGGACACAGGAGAGAAAAATGACTTTACTTGCAACCAGCTTTTCCCTACTCTCTTCTTATGGAAACCCGGAACTTATCAAAATGTTTGTTATTTTCAGTAAACTAAGGGACAATTTAGCTAGCATTAATTTAATGACCTTCCCACCAGACTCTTACTGAAATCAATAAACATTTATTTTTTAATGTCCTGAGGTAGGTTGTTGCTACCAGTCAATGTTTAAAAAGGTCTGGGGAACAAGAGTGTTTTATGCATGAAGTCAGAAAAAAGTCTGTGTCCTGCACTTTTAGGACTGCCTCAAGTGGCCAAGTATTTCCTTTTCTGACTGTGGGCTTTAAATTACAAAGTATATTCTCTGCAAAGGGAGTACATTAAAAAGTTTTATTCTAAGGTTAAAAAGACCTGCGGTCACATTACAATGAGGTTGATCAGTGTAGCTAAGGACGGGTGACTTCTCACAGAATGTCCAGGCTTATACAATACCCTAATGGATATCTTGAAGATAGTTTCAAATTACAAAGTTGATTCATGCTTGGGTTTTACAGTGAGCAGATTCACAGTATACACTAAAGATGCTGTAGTTACAGCTGAATAATTGAAGAGATTTGCTATCTACTTCTTGGGAAAAGGGTTCTGTATTTGGTTGAAACAAACAAAAAAATCCAATTTTTTCGTATTAATTTTTAAATATTTTTCTGTGTATGAGTGGACTGCCTGCATATATGTTAAGTGCACTCGTGTCCTGCAATGCCCTCCGAGGTCAGAAGAAGGTATCAGATTCCTTGGACCTGGAGTTACAGATGGTTGTTAGCCACCATGTGGGTGCTGGGAAGGGAACCAGGGTCCTTAACTGCTGGTTATGCTCTTAACTGCTGAGCCATCTGTCCAGTTCTCTCTTACTAGTTTTAAGTTACAAAAGTAAAAAAAAAATTAGAAAGTAGAACTAAGCAGAAAAAGAAAAATCATTCACAGTTTCACCAGTCATGAAGGTATGGATAAAACACTTTTGTTAGTTTCTTTCAGCCTCTCTCCAAGCAGTATAGTTTTTTTTTTAAAGGGGAGGTGTGTGGAAGGGTTGGAGGGAGGACTCAGAGGTTAAGAGCGCTTGCTGCGTTCATGGAGGATCAGAGTTTGGTTCCCAGCACCTACGCCAGGTGGCTCACAACCTCCCATAACTCCATCGGATCTGGTGCTCTCTTCTGGCCTCCGGAGACACCCACTCACACAGACACAGACAGATACACACATAATAATAAAGGGGATCACGTGGTACCTGTTTTGTGATTGCCCTCCCTGCTACCCTTAATAACATTACAACCTCCCATAACTCCATCGGATCTGGTGCTCTCTTCTGGCCTCCGGAGACACCCACTCACACAGACACAGACAGATACACACATAATAATAAAGGGGATCACGTGGTACCTGTTTTGTGATTGCCCTCCCTGTTACCCTTAATAACATTAACACTGTCCCATGTCACCCCAGCATTTCCTAATGACTAAATACAAGGGATACATAGCTGAATTCATTCAAGAGAATGGTAGTGGGATACATTAAGAAAAATAAACGCAGTAGAGCACACCATTTTCCCCATCCATTCTTCTAGTAGATCCCTAGATCCTAAGTGACTGACCTCTTGGAGAGCTGGGGTGGTCTGTCTGCCTGCAGAAAGACTCCTGGGGTTCCCGCTACCCACGGGGATGGAACCACAAATCGCGACCTCTAGGACCCGGTCCATTGCCCCAGAAAGCGACTCCACTGACCTGGAGTCATCCTACAAAGTCCCCAGTCCGGCTCCCATCCCTGTCCCCTTTCCCCAGCAGAGCCCAGGTCCTTGAGGCAGTAGGGGGTACCGGGCACGCGCTGTCCCCACCACACTTAGCCTGCGTATCTCTGTTCCTCCCAGACCTTCCCGGCCGGGTGCAGAGGACGCAGGGTCCCAGGACGCCACGGCTCAGCCAACTCTCGGGCGCTGAGCTGCGCCGGGGCCCACCGGAGCCGCACCGTCCCCCAGTGATGACGCGCTTCCTGCCCTCCCGGCGCTCGCGGGCCGTGCGCTCGCGTTAGCCCTCGGCTCTTGTTCCGCGCCGGGAGCCAGCGGCGGCGGCGGCGGCGGCGGCTGAGGCAGCGGGAGCCGGGCGGTCGGCGGGCGCGCGGGGCGACGCTGGCTGCTCTTCGGGCTGGCGCTCTGCGATGAGACAGTAGCTGCATCCCGCGGTAAGGCGCTCGGCGCACTTGGCTTTCCCTCAGCTTGCATGCACCCTGCAGGAATTTCTCGTGCCTTTCCCCTCCCGTCTGCAGAAGGCATATGTGGGTGGTTTTTTTTTTTCTCTTTCCCTTCTCTCTTTTGCATCTCGTAAGTGATGTCAATGCAGAAAAACCCTGCAAAACGCCTAGATTTCATGTTCCAGGAAGACTTTAAATATTTTTTTTGGCAGAAAAAGAAAAATAAATTGCAATTAATGCACCTGTCTATTGCACATGTATGTTTCGCTGCTCTCCACCCTGGTGCGGCGGTTTGCAAATAGTCTCCATAGCCGACTCCTAGCTGTAGGCAGCTGGTCTCCACGGGGCTACCCCGTTGCGTTTCCGGTAACTGGGTTGGAAAAGCAACCCGGTCAGCACTGAGTGTCCCCTCGACTCCAGCCGCCCCCTCCCGCCCCCCGCCCCCCTCTCCCCGGTGCCTTGAGACTTGACAGAGGGCAAAGCTGCTTCATTCCAGCACTGGCCGCCCCGACTTCCAGCGCCACTTTGCAAACAAGTCTCCCGGCCCGGCTCGGGGCGACATGCATTCCGGGGTGCGGAACCCATTCCGTGCCCGACTCTCAGATCTACGGGTTGCACGACGCCCCTTTCTCTGGCCGTGTCGCCAGCCGCTCGCCGCCGGTCCCCGGGGGCTGAGTGCGTGGACTGGGTTTGGACCCTGCGCGGCGGCCTCACCTCTCGGTCCTCGACCCCGGCGAGCTGAGATTTCGCGCTCTCGGAGATCGGGAGGGACCTGGAGACTGGCATCTGGGGACCCGAGGAACGACGTTCGAGGGCGCCATATTTTCAGTGGGTTCTTGGCTGCAGAGGCGAAGGGGGCGCAGATTTCCGAGTCCCCCGGGGAGTGTGAGGCGCCTAGGCGGGAGGCTGGAGCGATCTTCGCCGGGAAAGTTTGCTAGCCCAGGAGAGCGCGCAGACGGCTGTCCCCGCAACGGCGCGCGGACTGCAGCGTGTCGCCTGGGCTGGGAGCGGCGGGATCTGGGGACAGAGCAGCGCCTGGGATCTAGGCGGGCGGCTCACTCGGAGGAGCAGTGTTTGGGGCCGCGAGGCGCAGAGCACACGCCCCTTTTTTCCAGAAGCCACGACACCCCAGTGGAGCGCCCTGCGCGGAGCGTTGTCCTCCCACACCCCAGCTGGCTTGGGCGCTCCACCCGGCGCGGTACAGCAGGCATCTGGGAGCGTAGTTCCCGGCCAAGGCCTGGCTCCTTTCTGTCAGCTTGAAGCCTCCTTTCGCCTTCTGGTTGCGGAGGCGACCAGCACCCGCAGCAGCCTGCTCGTCTCGCACTGTGATACCGCCTGGTGGAGGCAAGGAAAGTGGGGCGTTTCCAGAAGTTGGGGCTTCAGGTGACCTGTGGGAAAATTTGCATTCTTGTTGCTGGTGAAGATCAGGGATGGAGGAAGACGAGATTGGACCAGTGATGTTGGCTATTTCCAGAAGATGAGATGAAGTGTTGCGTGTTGTAAGAGAAAGAGATAGGAGGGTAGAGCTGAGGTCTCAGAAAAACTGATCCCAACTACCGTGGTGAGTTAAGTAAAAACCCTTCAGATTTTTATAGCCCCTGGGCATGCTGAGTTGCTGCTTAGTCTGGTTCCTTGCTGTCTATCCTCTGTGCCCTAGTGCCTGGAGGTTTGGGACTTCCCAGAAGTGAATGGGTGGGGACTCTTTACTTTTGCAGATAGATAATGACCCTGCTTTGTTGTGTGGGGGCCGAGGAGGGTGTGTTTGCTGACCTGTGATTGACTGTGTGCTGGATGTGTTAGCTTTCCTCCTCAGTGTTTTAAAGAAATTCACAGTATAGAGGTGGTGTAGGCACTCAGTCTTTATCATTCAACCGGACCGGAAGTATCACAGAAACCTGGGGAGCGGGGAGAACAAGGTCTTTCATCTGGGAGGTTCCTTCTGATGTCAGCAGCTGCCCACTTCTTTAAGTGCCTACACTGTGAATGTTACCCATTCTTCTTCTGTGGTTGTGTCTTCTTTGATTGCTCCTTTAGGATATCTAGGCAAAAATTGAGGAGGAAGGGTGGGTGTGACCATTGGCCCTGTGTACTGAGGGTTGTGTGGGTCTGTGCTTTCAGTTCTGTCTTAACCTGAGCTTTAGAAGGATGGAAAACACCCAGATAACAATTCTCTAAAATTAGAGTAGCGAATGTGGGAGAGAGTTAGTTGTGGAACGCCACCTCCATTCATTATGTTGAAATTTCTTAGATTAGAAGAAGTACATTGAATCAAGCTATGGGTTCTTTTTATTTTATTTTTTTATTTTTTTAAGATCATATCTTCCATAGTCCCAGCTGGCCTGAAACTGACTATGTAGACCAGGCTGGCCTCATCTCACAGAGGTCCAACTGCCTCTGTCTTCCAAGTGCTGGGATTAAAGGCATGCATCACCATGCCCCGCAAGCAATGGGTTCTTTAAGCCACTGTCTTGCTCCCTGACTTTGTATGGACCTTTCCATTCATGTAGGAAATATTAAGGAATTGTGAGTCTCTGTTTCAGGATTTTAATTTTTTAAAAAATAAATAATTATTGAGTTACATACATGCATATAAGGTGTTTTGATTAAATGCATGCCCATTCCCTCCCCTCCAACTCCTCCCATATCTTCCCATCACTTTTTTCTGATAACTTCATGTACTCTTTCTTCTTCTTTGATTTATTTATTTATTTTTAATGGGGCTTTTGGCTACTCAAACATTCCCCCTTCTGAAGAGGTAACCCTAAAATCTTTTAAGGATTAGGTAAAAGCTCCCAAATACTTTCGACATTTGTGGCCTTTGGAACGGAGTAGGTTGCTAAGAGGCCCAAGGACATTGTGAGTTATAGCCGTGCAACTGGCTACTTTTCTTTGGGGTCTTTTTACCCTCACAGCCTAGTGAAGTCCTACCTCCTATTCTTATCATACCACCCTCTGAAGAGATTACCCAAATTGCCAAAAGGGAATCGGGACACAGACTGCTCTGGCTTCTTCCATGCTGAACACAGGGTGAGGCAATTGGAGTACCCCTTCAGTGAGTCTGTCTAAAAGCCTCCCAAATTGCATAACTCTTAACTCTAGGAGGAAAACAAAGTCTTTGAATCCGTGAATAGGAGATGTGAAGGAGAAGTAAAGGCAAGAGTAATTAGCATTACAAATTCTAGACAGGAAACTAGAAAAAAGTCAGAACAGGGCAATTTTCAAATGTTCAGATGAGAGTCCACTGGAATTTCTTGACAAAGGCTTCCAAAAGCATCCCTCTATTGGATTCCTCCTCATTTTTCTTTTGTTTTTCAAGGCTGGACTCTAGAGTGATGGATTCAGGATTTGCTTTCAGGTATTTTGATAGCTGTTGGAGTGGTTAGAAATTAGTGTCAGTTCCCTCTCAAATGCTTCTAGATAGGGGGAGAAAACAAATTTATCCATCATTTT